CGACGCCAGCCAACTCCGCACCATCTCGCGAACAAATAGAAGCGTTCCATCAATTCTGGAGGAACAACGAGATCTGGAACGGGAAGTAGAAAATCGAAACCAGTTCGCGCTCCACCTCCTTGAACAACAACAGCAACAACAAGCGGAGTTGCACCAATATTTAGAGGAGGAAGAACCAGTACCGGCACTGGTTGACACTCCGGGTCAGCCGGGAGGAGGTGGAGGAGATGGAGGAGATGGCGGAGTTACGGCAGATACCGTACGATGAAAATGAAGCAGATTTTAATGGGACACCAGGAGCGTCGGCAGGAAGTTCAGAACACGACGAAGTTGAAAGCATCCGCGAAATAGTACTGTAAGTTTCATTTCTAATTGTGCAGATGTGACAACAACCACTCATAGATACTTGTCTTTTAATTGTTTTGCAATGCAGTTATTTCTTAATTGTAGTGTGCTTGCAAATGAGCATGTTGAATAAACAGTTAAGTCACTGTTCATTTCAAAAATTATTTGACAAAATTAATTCGACAAAGTAAATTGAAGCAAATTTATTTAGATATTTTTTCTCATGATATGAATTGTTGTAGGAAGTTAGTTAAAGAAATTGGCATCCTTGTAAATATTCCTACGGACATATCAAAATAAGATTTCGCAGTAAATTTTGAAATTATAATTTTTATTTTTCAGACAATTTTCGAAACGCCTGCAGGACAGAATGCTTGAAATTTGCAGTAATAACTTGGACAGTATTAACAATATATTAACCATACCCAATGATTGGGAATTTGAAACGTGAAGAACAACGCAAACTACAGGTCAAACTACAGGTCGATATGTAAAGGAAACTTTGAAGGAATAAAAAATGCTACTAATTTAATTGATAGCATATATTTGCCATAATTAAAAATATTTTTGTTTGAAAACATAATGAATTCATGGTAAAACATAATATTGAAGTTATTGTATAATAATAAAATGATTTCAATGCAAAAGTTATTCTCAATTGTCATAAAAGCAAAGGCTATGAATCCTATGACATCTTCATTTGATTGCAGTCACCAAAATTTAGCCTCATTCATGTGTGGACTTAAAACAAAAAATCATAATTGGATAGGATGATGGAAAGTTGATAGACTAACTATTATACTTTAGAGTTATTTAATTATTTAATTGGTGAGCAGTGATAGGTTTAACGCTTGAGCAATGAATCGCACTAGCCGCACTAACTTCCCGGTAATGAACTTCAAATACAACTTTGATTCTGAGATACCATTGGGAAGAATCACAGTTTGATCCAGTATGCGAAAACATTGCGAAATGAATCCCCCTCCCCTCATTCATCGCTTGTCGAGCTGTGTCGCTGAAATCGCGAGAAGTAGAAGAAAATAAGTGATACTCAATTTCCAATAATTAATTGTCTTATTGAAATCTTAATGTGATTAAGCTTTGTTCATAAGTGTATTCTAGAATATTCCATGCCAATGTATCAATGCACTTAAGTACAACAACCATTCCCATACCGTGGGAAATCATTCTTCACAATAACTCCGCCTCCACCTCATCCCTGGGATAGCTGGGATTTTGGATATGGGGGGAGGGAACCGGGTGGCTTGTTGCATTCGCGTTTATGTTGTTGGCGTGCTTGTAATTGCTGAATAAAGGTTTAATTAAC